CCGGTCCATTATATTCCTGCTATGAGTGAAACCATCCAGTATTTTTCTTTCTCTTTCTGGCTTATCTCACTAAGCATGATCTTTTCCAGCTCCACCCAAGTTGCTGCAAAAGACATGTGTTTCTCTTTTTTGGTTGCTGAGTAATATTCCATTGTATATATGTACCACAGAAAATGATGAGTTTTTTAAAGTTACTTAAACTTAAAGGAAGTAGAAGCAAAGAATACAGATAAAATCAGAAACCAAAGAGGAAATTAATGTACAACTAAGAAAATTAACAAAGTCAAAAGTCAATCAAAGCCATAATAAGACTGAAAAAAATCCTTATCAAGATTGATTGAAGAGAGGAAATACTAGTTTTCTAGTTTTCCAGGAATGAAAGAGACTCATGGGGCCCTCCCTGGTGGCACAATAGGTTAGAGCGCAGCACTGCAAGCTGGCCACAGCCACTTCAGGGCGAGTTTATCACCTCCCAGCTGGTGACCCACGTGGTGCGTCGGACCTCTCCTGACGCACCTGCTGCTCCCCTCAGCAGTGTGCTTCGTCAGTCTACCTGTTCTGCTCCCCACTCTGTGGTGAATCTTCTCACCGCCCCTGTTCCTCTGGCCTGTACCCCAGTTCTGTATGCATAAATAATATTTTTTAAAAGAGACTCATTACAGACCCTGTAAATTTTCAGAAGATAACAAAAGAATATTATAAATAACTACATGCCAAATATATGACATTTTGCTAAACTAGATAAATTCCTTGGGAAGAACTTATTAAAACTGACACAAGAAGAAATAGAAACTTGAGATGTTCTCTCTGGTGGCCTAAGGGTTAACTCTCAACATTATCACCACTAATGGCCTGAGTTGGATGACTGGCCAGGAAGTTAATCCACATGGTGCAGCAGACCTCTCTGTTTTGTCCTCCATTCCTCTAGCCTGTATCCTAGTTCTACACACAAAAAAATAAAATCTCAAGAAAAAAGAAATAAAAATCTGATAGTCTTCTATTTATTAAATACAATAATATATTATTTTAAACCTTCACATACAGCCAAGTAACCCAGGTTCAGAAGACTTTAGTAAATTCTTCCAAACTGTTAAGTGCACTTCAGCAAGTAAAAATGGAACACTATCTGCCATCTATTGATGAGATAAGTGACATAATACTAATCTTCAAAACAAAAACAAGAATTACCTATTCTTCCAAGCATAGAAAGAGAACACCTCTTAGTTTTTTATTGAGTCCTATATAGCCTTGATATTAACATTTGACAAAGATACGAAAGGGAAATTATAGACCAGTGTCACTCATGAACATAAAGACACAAATCCTAGACAAAATATTGGCAAATCAAATCTAGCAATAAGTAAAAATGATAATAAATCACAATCAAGTGGGCTTGTTTCAAGAACGCAAGGATAGTTTAACATGCATTGCATTTTTTTTAAGATTTATTTATTTATGTATATAGAACTGGGGTACAGGCCAGAAGTGCAGAAGCGGTGAGAGGATTCACCAGAGACAGAGTGGGGAGCAGAACAGACAGATCTTCGAAATACACTGCTGAGGGAGCAGTGAGAGGGTCAGGAGAGATCTGCCATGCCTTGTGGATCACCTCCGGGGCAGGCGGGGATCAAACTCTGCAGAAGTGGCTTTAGCTTAGTGTTGTGCTTTAACCCGCTGCGCCACCAGGGAGGGCCCACATTGCATTTCTAAAAGGGAAGATTTAATAGTAGAGATAGTATAGGAAATGCTGATAATGTATAAGCTGATAGAAAAATAAGAAAATATTTTAACAGAAAACTTCATAGAAGAGGAATTCAGATGACCAGTAATCACTTACAGCCCTTCAGAATTAGATATGGATTTATTGTCCATCTGCCCTCACCATGAAGGCAAGGGCTTTTTGACCAACGGAGCCTCCAGGACAATGGCCGGCAGATAGGAAGTGTTCAGTTTCTGCTTGGTAAAGGGCGTTACTAGTAGGGAAGCCTCCACGCACTTTCATGCACCCACAATGCCCACTGTCTGGTAGCACAATCACACCTGTGTCCGGAGGCACAATGGCACTGGCTTCAGGCCAGCACTTAAGTTCTCTTAACTAGCACTTAAGTTCTCTTTTACAGCCAGTATGGCAATGACCACATGACTCAACCTCCCTAAGCCTGAGGCTCCTTAGCTGTGAATGGGAGTGGTCCTGGCAGGCTGAGAATCACAATGTAAAAAATTAGAGCATTCCTGTGCCAGGGAGCAAGAGGATGCTGTCACACACTTATTCAGACACACATGCTGAGCACACATGCATGTGCTCACACATACAAGTGCACAGTGCCCGGCACACAAGTTTCCCCCTAGCCCAGAGGAGCAGAGATGCAGAAGAGTCACTCAGGTCACAGGAGCTAAGAGGGGAGGAATGGGACTGCTCTCTAATCCCCCATGAACCTTCCCCTTACCTCTGCCTTGACCCTAGACCCTAACCCTGGGAACTGAGATACTAGGCCTACCCATTGTATCCATGTCCCGTCCAGGCCAGGGGTCAGAGCAGCTACCATCAAGGGGCCCCTCCTATGGGCCCCTTTATGGGCCTGCCCATTCATAGCCTGCTCCTGATGAAGACTCTGACATGAGACCCAATTGACAAGTGGGGAGATCAAGGCCTAGTGGGCCCAACAACTTATCCAGAGTCTTTGCTTTCTCCTTTGCTGAGAGTGAGACCCCCAGGCTCCCATATGGGGCTGGAGTAGCTCACAGCACCCAATTCTCAGGGGCCCAGCCCCACCCTGTGGCCAGTGCCCAGCCCCAGTGCCCCAGAAGTCCTGGGCCCCTACCAGTGCCCTCTCTACTATGCACTTGATCACTAAGGCTCTTAACTATATGGGCTTAGCCTGGGGACTGGACAGGCATTGGGACCCAGGACAAAGGATAGGAAGACTCTCCGCCCTTCTATAGTCCTGGAGAGCTTCTCCCTTGACGAGCCCCAGCTGAGCCCACTCATTCTGAAATGCCAGGCGAAGCCCTAGTTTCCCCATGAGTCAGGTGGAGTAACAACTGGGTTCAGGAGGCGCCGTGTCCAGCAGGAGGGCGGCACTTCTAAGTGGCAGAGCAGACAAATGTCACAAAGCCTGAACATCACTGCCAGCCCCAAGCTCCAACCGTATCCCTAGAAGAAGCTCAAAGAAGGAGCTCAAAGAACACCTAGTTTGCACACAAGCCTGATACACAAGGGCAGCACAGTGGGAAAATGACAGTCCAGAAGGGAAGTCACCTCATTGTCACGATGTGTCTACCATATGTCCACGGGACATGGTGCTTGAAACACATACATGTGGACCTTAAGAACCCTCACTGGGAGGTGTGGCCCCAACAGAAACCCAACTCCAAAGGAGAAAATCTGGTAATCTGGTTCTGATCAGCTAGAAGATGGAGGGTGGGAGGGCCTACTCGTGAAAAGAGAAAGCAGAAGAGATGCTGGAGGGGGTTCTGGGGGGAGGGACGGGCAGGGAGAGTGGATGCTGGGCAGTCCTCCGCAAAGGCAGGCATGGAGCAAGGAAGGCGTGGGGTCCCTGCGGGGAGGGAGCTTCGCCCAGGCCCAGGCGCCAGACCCAGCACAGTCGCATGACCCCTTGTTCCACAGCAGCAGCTGGGGCCAGCTCCATGCTCCCTCTTATCCCTGGCTTGTTAAAACAAGAACAGGAAGTGGCCATCACTGTTTGACAAGTACACAAAACACTGAGAAAAAAACACATTCTATCTCCTCTCTGGGGGAGAACAGCAGAGCAGAGACCCCCCAACTCTTGCCACCTACATGCACAGCAGGGCAGAGTCCCCACACACCTCCAGACAAAGACTCAGGGAGACACAGCGGCCCGGGCCCCCTCAGAGACATGTGGCAGCAGCCCCCACTCCTGAGGCCGTGTGCCCACCAGTCACCTGTGCGGCCTGTGTTCCCCAAACTTGCTTGCATATTTGCAACTGTGGGACAGGTGGACAAGCACCTCTTCAGGTTTCCTGGGGAATGGAAGACTCACTCCTTTCCCACCCCCTCAGAGCCCTCTGGGAAAACCAAGCAGCCCCACATGTCACCTTTAGCCACCGTCATCCTCGAGGGAAGATCCTGAGAAGAGTCCAGAGGGCCAGATCAGAGGGAGAAACCTCAGGGACAGACAGTGGAAGAGAAGAGGGAATGAATGAAAAAGAGAATGAATGAAAGAAGAAGAGAAAGCGAAAGAGGTGAGCGGGATGGAGGAGCCCTGGGACACCACCTGTCCAGGTGTCCCCCAGCTGAGACTCGACATGTTCTGCCTGGCTCTGGAACAGTCCCTCTGGGTTTACAAAGCACATCTGATCCTGACAGTGGACTGATCCTGACATTCTGGAAAACAAATCCAGCCAGCAGGGCAGGGGATACTTGGCCAGCTTTTTTCAGCCTCAACAGAGAGCGGGAACCCTGCCATATTCCCTCCTGGAAGCTCCAGAGGCCCGAGCTTCAAGGAAAAGGGCTGGGAAATGACGCTGGGAAATGATGGCTGGGGCCCTCTCCATCAACCGCCCTCACCTGGCCTGCAAACATCAGGCCCTGCCTGCCAGTTAGTGATCCAGCTCCAGGCCTGGGAGAGAAGCAGGATGTTATAGGGGACAGGCCAGGGCTGGAGACCAGGCCTGGAAGTATCCCCTCACCCATGCCACAGGGGTAAGACCCCAGCCTCGGAGAACTGATGCCATCTCTCTGAAGGAGCCAGTAACCACTGTCACCTGGGTCAACCTGGGCTAATGCAGCAGTGTTCTCTCTGGGTCTCCTGAGCTTCAGAGCTAAGAGGTGACTGTTCTGCCCACACTTTGTGACCCCCAAACCCCACCTGACCCACGAGCCTCCTACCACCTGCCCTAGGCCAGGGCCCTGGGACCACTTCCTTGCTGGACCCTTCCTTGCAAGCGCACATACGAGCACCACTGGTCACCGCTGGTCAGGTGCCATGGACACCAGCTCCCACCCATCTCTTACTCACCGTCCGATGTCAGAGCAGACCTTGGAGTCAGCAGCGACTGCAGCATGGGTGAAGGCCTGAGGGCCACAGTGAGTATGCTGGCCAGAGAGGACCACAGCAGGCACGATGATGGCCAGGGCCAGGGCCAGCCCCAGCAGCACTATGCAGACCATGGCCCCCCGGCTCTGGGCCATGGCTCTGCGACTCAGGGAGAGAAGGAGGCAGGTGGGCACAGATAGGATGGGCAAGATGACAGATGAACCCACAGATAACTAGACAGGTGGACAACAAGAAAAAGCCAGAAACAAATGGACTTACAGGCAGGCTGGACAGCAGAAAAGAGGCTAAAAAGAGAAAGACAGTTAGACAACGGGTCAGAGAAAGGATTACTTGCTGGATGGACAGATAGACAGTGACAGGAACCCAGGCAGACAGACGGGTATGCTGCTGGCTGCTGGAGGCAGTGGCAATGCTGCCTCCAGAGCTCCCAATGACCACAGACCTGAACTTCCAGTTTTCGGTTGCCTTCAGTTTTCAGTGGCCGCAGCCACTCGGGCCTTGGCAGGAAGCCAACAACAAAGCATTTATGGGGAGTTTTTCCTTCCAGGGAGCAAAGGAGTGAACAGCTGCTCTTAACTCCCTCCTTGCTGTTCCTACACTGTCTCCAGCAAGCCCTGAAGGCAGAAACAGCCCTGCTCAGGGCTTCGCCATCGCCATTGCCATCGTAGGTGCTTGGGGCTTGAGTACTTGGCATCTGCTGTCCTCAGGACAGCCAGGGTGGAGGACTCAGCACCCCCACCCCCACTCCAGGCCTCTCCTGTTTCCCAGCAAAGCCAGGATAACAGAATTGGGCAGGCCCCCTTCCCAGTGACAGGCTCAGAGGGATGAGGGGCCAGGATGGAGCCTTGAGAGCCTTGACCCCCACTCTCTGGGCATGGGCCTGGCCAGCAGCAGCTTGCCCCAATATCCCCAGAGCCAGAGGACACGTGGGTGTCCAGGGCAGAGGTGGGGGACTCAAGGGAATGTCACTCAGAACCCAGGTCCAAGCCTCAGCTCAGCTGCAGCCTGGCCAGGAGGTGAGGATGCCCAGGAGCCTAGTTTCCCAGTCCACATCGAACACCCCAGACCACAGGACATCCAAGTAGGGGATACATACGGGATTTCTGTCCAGCCCTCGGTGCCAAGTACCCACCAGACTGCCAAGCCCTGGCATCTGCTGCCCTGGAAATGCCACCAAGAGCCTCCAGGGAGTGAGATTGTCCTTTCAGCTGTGTTGGTGCCATTGTGCTCTGGGCTACTCCTTCCCTGCCTGGGTCTTAGGATGTCTGATTGGGAGGCAGCTGGAGGAACTGGAGGGGGTGGGGGGGGCACCAAGGAGCCACCCTGACTGGGCTCAGCAGGGGCACAGGGTGCAAGGGCCATAGGTTGGACCCCACCCAATTAGCTCTCATGCATCCTCCTTGGGAGCGTTGGCCTCTTTGATTTCATTACACTTAACCTGTGTACTGCTTTCTGTGCAGCAGGGAAACTGACGGACAGTGACTGCACCTGTGCTGTCCTGTCCCCCACTTGGAGACTCTGGTCAGCTTGAGCTGAAGAGGCTACTGGGGTAGGTTCCCTCACAGGCATATTCCCAAGCCTCCTTGTTGGGTAGGGAGGGCTTCACACGAGGGGTTCCTCCCTACGCCACAGTGACATTACTCAACCAGAATCCCAAGCACATTCTTGGGCCACGGCCAGCTCTGGGAGGCAGAGACAGTGGGAACTGTGGGTCATTAGGATCAGGGGGACATCTCCTCCCCCTTGCCATTCTTTCCAGACAGAGCCAGGGTGGAGGGAGCACAGAGAAGGTTTGGGAAAGGAACAGACATCATGGCAGGCCTATCCAGTAGTAAGCCAGGAAAGGGGCAGGGAATGGTAAGGAGGGGGAACCAAGTCCCCCAGTCCCAGAGGAAGCCCTGAGCCCAGCCCACCGAGTTCTGGGAACAGAGGATGTACCCTGCCTGTGAGTCAGAGACCCGGGGAGTTTCATTACCAGCACCTACCTCCCTGTGTAGCAAGGCCCCTGGCTGGGCCTACTTCCTCCCCTGCAAATGGGAACAAAATGATAGCTGAGGGGAAACTTACACACCCACCAAACCAGCCTCCATCCCATCCCCCAATGATCCCAGGGTCCTCCAGGACTCAGGGCTCAGACTCTCCAGGCACACAGCTCCATTGACGGGGTACTTCACAAGTAGCAGATTTTCCCACCTCCCCTGTCCTCTGTGGTCCCTACCCTTTGTGGTCCCTACCCTCAGAGACTTCATCTGCCCACCCTCGCTGCGCTCTCTGATGGTGGAGCTATCTGGCTGTTGGGGTGTGATCCTCCCCCTGGCCTCCTCCACTTTCCTGTACCCCACCTCAGATGTTATAACCGTGCACACAGGAGTTAGCAGGCCCTGAGGAGGGTGGCAGGGCCTGGCGGGATGTGTGTCCTCCCACCCCTCCCCAGACCCGATCCCCCTGGGTGTCATCCATGCCAGCTGCCTGTCCCAGCCCTGACCCTCGGGGATCTGGGGACTTCTTCCCGTTCACTGTACCCTGAGAACTGGGCCTCATCTGGAGCTGATCCCAGCTTGCTTCACTCTGGGTTTGTTTGGAAACCCCCCAGATCTGGCTCTGGCCAATGTTTTGCTCCAGCCTCTAACCCAACCCCGCACCTCACCTCCGAATGTCCTCAGAGGGTGAACCCAGTCTGATGAAGTACTGCTTCCCAGCACACCGCCTGACCGCAGCCTGAGGCCCGGGTAACTGCCAAAGCCGCAGCACCCTCAGGTGGCCAACAGAGGAACTGCCCTCCCAGCGCAGGGTAGGGAAAGCAGGCTGAGGAAGGTCAGTGACTGACCAGCATCCCCAGAGCTGCCCCCAGCCCCTAGAACCTCATGAAAATATTGATGCTACCCTAGTGTCTGGGTTGTAAAGACCTTCAAATCCTGCCTTTCTGTCTTCCCCGGCTAGAAGACTACATTTCACACAGAGAACGCTGAGCTCGGAGAGCCAGGAACCAGCAAGGCTGCCAGAGCCTGGCACTGCAGCCCCCATTTATTGCACTTCTTTGTCACCAACAGGGGAAGCACATTCCCAAAGTCCCACTCTGGCCCTGAGGGGCATCTTATTCCTGTGTTGCCGGTCAGCTTTCTTGTCCCTTGGGTACTCAATAGCCAGCCGGCTCCCCGCCTTTCCTGGAGTCTGAGGCGGCTGCCCAGCCACCAGCCGAGCGGGTGATGGCCTGCACCACGGCAATAAAGGTAGACCTGATGTCCGTGTAGTGGTTCCGGGTCTTCAAGGCTGTAACCACGGCCTGGGGGTAGGAGAGGAAACGGGGCCTCAGCAGGGCCCATGACGCCATCTGCATCACACCTACATACTCAAGGGCTTCAGAGACCCAGACGGTGCTGTTTCCAGCCAAGGACCAGGAAGAGGAGTTCTGTCTGTGAGGTATCATTGGAGCGGCTCCCCCTGTACAAGGACTCAAGATAACACAGGCAGGGGGTGAGGGTCACCTCCCCAAACAGACGACACCAGCCCTCGTCTACTATGTGATGACTTGAAAGATCTGAACTTCAACTCCAGGACACCCTAGGGACACCCACTGTGACTCAGTTTTCCCACCCCACCTGGTCAATGTCTTTCTCCAGCGTGGTGGTATTGGGCAGGAGCTGGTTGTGAAGCCGGGGCTCCTCTACTGCCTTCTTTGCATCGTAGCCAAACCACAGGTTATTGATGATGGCCTGGAGGAAGGGAGGGAATGGGGTCAGCGTGGCCCTGAGGCAGGGGCAGGGTGCACATGAGGGTGGCACATACCAGTGCAGTGGCTGTGGTGATCTGTGTGCCCCCGGAGGCGCCCACCACCATGCGGACCTGGCCATCCTGGCCAACGAGGATGGCTGGGCACATAGATGACAGAGGCTGCTTCCCTGTGGTGGGCCGACATGGGGGAGGGGACAGAGGACTCGTCAGCTGCCTGCCTAGGACACCAGTCCTCACCCCACACAAGCCCCCATGCCACACCTGGCTTGATGAAGTTGGCTGGTGAGGGGGGTACCCCAAACTGGTTAGTGATGTTAGGGGAGCTGAAGTCATCCATTTCATCATTGAACAGGATTCCACTGACGGGTGATCGCACCTTGGAACCAAAGCTGCAGGCCACTTGGGTCAGACACTGCCCAACCCAGTCCTGTCCCAACCGCCAGAAGCTTCCACCCACCAAAGCGCCAGCCAGCTCCCTGTGGGACGGGAGCAAGCACTCTATAAGTTGGGGCCTCAGTTTTCCATCACGAAAGGGGTTAATGGAGCCCCTGGAGGACATGCAGGCAGCCCCCGGCCCACCCAGGCCACCTGGCAGCCGTACTAGAGGTTGATGGTGCTGGTGGCTGACACGGCACTGCCATCCTCCGAGACCACTGACAGGTGGGCAGTGCCCCCATCGTTGGGCGTGTAGAACTCAGGCTCATAGTAGGAGGTCATGTGCGTGGTGTCATCGGAGATCCGGGCCCGGATTTGGGCAGCAAAGAACTCAGAAGTCATGTTGCGGACCACCTGCCGAGACCCCAGAGCTGGCCTGAGGAGGTGGGGAGGGCAGGGAGGGGGCACAGGCTTGTGGGAGCAGCTCTCAGGAGACCCCTGACCATGGCTCTGACCACAGCCCTCCTCCATCCTGAGCCTCGCTGGCTCCCGGCCCCCTCTCGCTGTCTCGGCCACAGTCCAGCAACTCGGAATGTTTTTGTAGCTACCCCAGACCCTGCTCTCATTGCATTCAATCACTCATTCACTGTGGGGCTTGGGCTGTGGGCCTTACACTGGGAGACCAGTCAAGAACAGATATGCAGGTTCCTACCCTGGCAACAGAGAATGTGCCAGAAAGAACAAGTCAGGTAAGGGGCATAATACAGAGAAGGCTTCTTGGAGGAGATGAGCTCGGGAAAGAGCCCTGATTGAGGCTGAACTGTAAATGCAAAGGCCTACAGGAAGGCTCTTCAGGCAGATGGTGAGGGGGATGAGGGGGAGGAGAGACTGAAGATGCCAGCAAGGTGTCAAGCCTATAGGAATCCAGAAACATCTCCAAGGACTTTGGCTGAGCCATATGGACTTGGGGCAGAGGCGTGAGACTCCCTGGGGGTGTTTTCACAGGACCCCCTCAGGCAGCAGTGTAAGGTACAAGGGTGAAACCCAGCTGGGAGGGAAGACATCAACCAGATAAGGAGAAGGTGGTCGCTTGTCCAAGTGGGAGAGAAAGCAAATTGTGTGGCCCTAAATCTTCAGCCAGAGTGGTGGTTAACTGGGGAGGTTCACGCCACGAAAGGGGCAGGTTGGGGACAGTGGGGGCTTGACGGGACGGGTGTCCACTGGAGACTGAAGAGCCTATGGCAGGCATGGAGAGCCAGGGCTGTGAGGTTCACGAGCAAGATCTGGCAAGGGATAAACAGGGAGACATCGACATCAACCTGGCAGGGCCCCAGAGTGTCAAGGGGACACAGAGGGGAGACAAACAGAGAGAAAGGAGGGGGGAGGAGGAGAAGAGGAGCCAGCAAGGTCCAAGGATCAAGCCCAGAAAATGCCTCCAGGTTTCAGCAGTACCCCAAGGATTAATTCATTGAATCTGCTCCCAAGGAAACAGGTCAGATCCAAGATATGGGATTTAAAAATCAGCAATACAGGCAAGGAGGTCTGTTTTCAGGTAAGAGACTCGAGAGTGGTAAGAAAGTGGTTGCAAGGGGTGACTATGAGGGCTCCAACTTGAAAGCCCCTGGGGCCCTCAGGGGATTCCAGTGCAGGTGACTCCCAGGCCATGCCGCCTCCCCATCGGTGGTCAGGTGAGGTCCGCCACAATAAGAGATGTCCGAAGTGACAGCTGCGACTTAATGCCCACTGACTCAGAAAAGTATAGCCCAGAAGAGAAAGATGGGAGAGGACGGACATGTGGCAAATGTCTACCCCTCTGCAAAACAAGACACCCAGACGAAGAGGAGGTGAGCTGCGTGCTATGTGCTGGGGGGCAGAAGGGAAACTGAGGCTGGGTGTAGGGCTCTAGCAGAGGGGGTGTGCAGTGAGGAAGTGAATGTGTCAGGAGAGCCGAGCAGGATGGGGACTGCCGGGGGCGGGGTGGAGAGGCGCAGAGCAGCATTGTAGGAAGGATGAGCTGGGTTAGCACGAGGGCCCGCTTAGCCAAAAGGGAGGGTGGGGCACACTGTGGATCCTGTCGCCTCGGGGATATAGGCCACCAGGTTGCCAGCTGTCATGGAGAACCGGTGGAAAAGTCACTCGGAAAACGAAGAGACCTGGGCGATCAGGAGGACCGCCGGGCAGCAGAGGCCCCTCCTGGGTTACAGGTCAGTGTGAGGGGTCGTCGGGTCTTTCCTGGAAAGGGGGGACCCACGTAGGTAAGGAGGAGCATGATGGGGGTCTCAGTGGAGGCCCAATCCATAGCCAGGGCACTTGTAAGAGAGTAGACTGAGTGGTGGGACCTGGAAGGTGTTAGCTCCTGAGGGACCCAGGGGACAGCAGCCGAGTCCTCTACCCTGATATGTGGAACTTCTCCCCTATACCTCATCTTCTCATCTCCTCTGAGGACTGCAATGCCCTATTCATTCCACACCTCAGCACCAACCACTCTAGAACCTTCCAGGCCAAGAGCACAGTATATACAGGGCCCCATAGTGGAGGTATGTTTGTATGTTGGGGGGAACACTAATAACTCTTTGCGAGCACTCTCCCCTGGCCTTCCCCACACTGAGAGCTCCAGGGAGCAAAGACTGGGACTTAGGGTCACCAGTGTATCCCTGCACAGAGTAGGCCCATGACCAAAGTTGGTGGTGGGGATGGATTAATAAAACATGGTAAGGCTGTGGGAGCCGCAGGTTGTCCCCCTGGCACCTCCACAGCAGGCCCCCCCATCCACCAAGTGCTGGCCACTGCCCCTTACCTGAGTCACATTGACAAACTTGGGGTCCCCAAGCAGGGTCCTCTTGGCATAGGCAAACCGGAAGGCTTCCACGATGCGGTGGTACGTCAGACCCTTCTGCTCAGGAGTCTCCACACTCGCCGGGGAGAAGTTGTATCCTGGTAGGGCAGAACCAGGGGCACGTTGGCAGCCCCAGAGCCCTTGGGACATGCCAGCTCAGCCCAGACAATACCAGGGTGGGGCCACAACTCCCTGAACCACTTGGCCCACCGTGAGAGGAGGAATACTTAATAACCAGCAGCAGGGGCCACTTGGGAAGGATAAAGGAGGGACTCCCAGCCCGGCCTGCGCGTACCGGGTACAGCCAGGGGCCTGCCCGGAAGCTGGTCACAGACCACCACTGAGATGCGCCCTTTGGGCCAGGATCCAGGCTGGGAACTTCTGTCACTGGGTGCCTGGGCCAAGCCAGAACCCCTTACCGCTCCACTCCCTCATCCCACACCCCGTACACTGATCCAGGCCTCTGTCCCGCCCAAGCTGCCCCCTCCAGCTCCTGAGGGTCACCTGTCATGCGTGGTGGCACTTGCGGGACAAGTGGGATGACTGACCTTTGAGGATGTTGAGGATGAGGGCTAGCACGGGCCCGCTGAGGGGGGCACTGGGCACATAGAGCTGGACATCCCCGAGGCTGATATTCAGCGGCTCAATAACCTCGGCAGCGTAGCTGTTCAGGTCCCTGATGGTCACAATGCCCCCTGCAACGGCCACAGCTCAGTGGGGGAGAGGCGCCAGCAGCGTCAAGCTGGGATTCCTGCCGCAGCCCTGCCGCCGACGGCTCAGAAGCCTTGTCCTTCCTGACAGCGCCAGCTCTTCATGGCCAGGCCCCGGCCAGCCCCCCTCAACCCGCTGGCCCCTCTAGCCTCCCAGTCTGTCTTTTCTCCTCTTGAGAGCCAAAGGGTCTTCTCTACTTGGAAGATACCTGTTTTCACCTCCCCCCCCCTTCAGCCCCCTCCTCCTGTGACTAATGGGTGGGTGGAAAGAGGCTCTTAATTCTCCAGGGATATGGCTCCAGACAGGTGAGGTATTTACAGACTAATTTCCGGCGTCAGTGGTAAAGGTCAATATAACCACCTTCCTCCATGACACACTGACAAAAATAACATATGAAGAAAGCCACAGCCAAGCTCCTGGGCCCAAATCTGTCAGAACCTGCCCCTCCGGGCAGCCTCCACAATGCATCTCTGACCAAGCCAAGTCCACCTTACGACCCACTCAGAGAATTCACATCCCTTCTCGCAGGGCCTTGGGCTACTCCCTCTGCCAAGAGGGTCCCTCCCATCTGCCTACAAAATCCAGGCAATTGCGGCTCACCTCCTCCAGGAAGTTCTCTGCACCACCTGTTAGGTCTTCCCCAGTCCCAGCTCCTGCTTAGGACCTGCATTTATCCCCCAGGGGTTTTGTCTTCTGGTCTCACTCTGAGGGTGCTGCCTGAGGGTCTGGTGCTCAGCCCAGACAGGATCAAAGGACCCCAGGCCCCTGGACCCTCAGGGGTTCCCACTCCCACAGTTCCCTGAACCAGACCCCACCAGGTCACCCCCTCACCAGCTGCCTTGATGTCCTTGACAATCTGGGCTGTGAGGCTCCCATTGTAGAAGGCCCGGGCACCCTCCGTGGCCAGTGTCTGATACGTGTCGGCCAGCTTCGGCATGGTCACCGTGTCCCCCTCCTTCAGAATCTTCCCATCCCGGCAGAACACCTCACTGGGGCAAAGGGGGTTCCTGGGAGGCGGGCTCTGGGAATCATGTTCCTGCCCCACCCATGCCCACATGCACATATTCCGGGAGATGAGAACAATGGACAGTGGGTGTCTGCCCACAGGAGGATGGCTCTGTCACTCAGGGCTTGACCTCGGTGTCCAGCCCATGCCTCCTGGAGTTCCCCCGCCACTCAGGATGCACCAGCCAGGACGCCATGCGCCAGGCTCAGGACGCCCCACCACTCCTGGAGCCTCAGCGCAGGTACCTGAAGGTGCTCTGCAGCCCCTCAGGGGCACGCTGGGCTTGGCCACACCCACCCAGCCTGTGCGGCAGGCGGCACACCCACAGACATACCACAGCTCGGGTTGTCGCTCAATGACAGCGCGGCTTCTCTCCAGGGCGGCCGCCAAGCCCTTCCCCACAGGAAAGCCCTGGCGGGCCAGCTGGATGCTGGGCTGGAAGAGGCGCGCCCAGGACAGCCGTCCATGCCGCTGGTGTGCCAGCTCATAGCCTCGGAGCTCGCCAGGAACTGCCACCGACAGGCCCCCTGCAGAGCGAGAGGCGTGGTTAATGA